TTTAATTGTTCCAAAAAAAGATATAAAACACGGACATATTTGAAGCAATCACACGTCTCCTTTTATATGTGAACGTTAGAGTGAATGCGTGTAGTTGGACTTGCTGGCGTGCTCGTCTGCCCCCTGCATGCGATGGACATGACACGTTTCGTTTTCGTCACATTTAATAATATCAACCATTCCAATTGGTCAGGTGTGCATGACAATAGAGTCTAATACAGTTGAGTTTTGCAAATTTCGGCAATCCCCAAAAGTTGATCAAAGTAATGACAACATGGCAGGCCTTTTTCTGTATCTGTTTATTACGCTGGTTTTGAATCAAAATACGAGGGTATTTTGTGATATTGACGTCATCGACTGCCCCGATGGATATTTCGTGGCTTTAGGCGAATGTCACGATTGTCAACTGTGTGAAAAGGTGCATCTATCGCAATGTAACCAGTGCCAAGGTAAGTCGCAATCTCATATCAGTGGCGGATCTAGAGGGAGGTTCTTGGGGTCCGTACCCCCCCCGTTGAAAAATGTATTCAATTTGTTTTTGTATAATATAAAAAAATCATTAACTTAGTCTGGCGATTTTAAAGTTTGCCCCCCCCCCCCATAAAAAAATCCTATATGCACCCTGCATATCCAATCTTTCCTCAACTTTGAAGTTCTGCAATGTAACTGAGAGGTCAAAATGGGAGTCCTCTTCAAATCAGAAACGAGTATTTTCTCGAACGTGGTAGGGGTATGTCGGTCTATAAGTTTCTCGTATAGATATGTACCTGAAAGCGACGCGTATATTCAAATTCTTATTTATTCTTATTGTCTATTTCCGACTCTCGCGTACATGCTTCTGCAAACGCATAGGCATGAGCAATGGGCGAAATATGTTACTAGTACATGTACTCAAATGATTTTGTTGCTATTTCGCTAAGAAACCGCTCGTCTGACAAGGAATGTAAAGGGAATTCCCCATGTAAAATTTCTTTAAATAGCTGCCAACTTGTCAGTGATTGAGGGGCTGTGATTGGGTGTACCTTGTGAAAAGAACACGCGTTTGGCATAACGCCAGACAAAATGGCTCCCTGTCCGATGAGGGCGGCATACGCATAACTTCATGATGTATGAAATACTGGAGAGCTATTCGCTGCATTACTGATTATGTTCGACTCGTTCGTGTATTCTCGTATATCTGGGATTTTGAGTTATTCGTTTATGTTAAGCTCACTGAAACCAGTCAACGGGTATTTTGAATTTATACCGTACATATACAGACTACATATTTTAAATGCAATTTCCTGAAGTTGATATTTTTTTCTAAAATATACAGTGTCGACGACAACAACTAGTACAAGTACAAGTACAAATAATAAAATCAACAAGAATTCGACAAATCCAGCGAATAAAGAAGATGTTTACATACATGTATCTGGATACCAATGTAAATATGATATTCTTTCCTTTAAAACAAGTTGATTATAGACTTATAAATATGGAGTAGATTGTCGGTAAACATTACTAGTACTTTCAAACCCGGAAAAAAAATACTATTAATTTTCATTGTTGTTGTTTCATGGGGATTGGGAGTTGTACATGAACATGTTCGACTATGTCATTCAACAGCTGCGATTCACCGTGACTGCTGTAAATTGTACGTTTTAAGCTTCTTATTATTTCCGCAGTATCTTTGAACAGCCCATTGGTGCTATCAGTGTTGTTAGCGGCAATCATCGCCATTGTCATAGTGGCATGCTTAGTGGTAAACGTCTCACGTCGACAGGACAAGGCACGACACTTTCCACTGGATTGCTGCAGTGTCGGAAAACATCAGCCACATCGCGCAAACGCTATAGGTAATAAACTTTCATCTTTTTTATTGTAGTTAAGAAAGGTATTATGAAGCTTTTTTTTTTTTTAAGAAAAAACATTAGAGAATTCGCGCCGCGCCAGTGGGAGCATGCCTTAATGAATTTACAAGTGTTCAACAAGTTAAAGCTCAGACATCTTCTCACTCACTACTGCCGTCAAGAATACATATACAAGCAACTATTCTATTTTTCCAAATCTCGCATCTCATATTCGTGAATATGTACTCAAATTTCCAGAAATATCCATCGTCCTTTAAAGCGGGGGAGGGGGTGACTCGTCACCTGCGCATGCGTCAGATGGTCATAGCGTGTCATTGCTTACAAAAAAGCGTCCATTCGTGAGCCTTTGCGTGTGTTATTGTCGATTGGAACTAACCGCGCGTGCGCAGATGACGAACCTCCCCTTTAATTTACGAACATATTATTTCTTTCAGCTTACCGGTTTTATAACGTAGATGGCGGTGATATAAGGGAGGTCGCTAGAAATGCAGATACAATACCCGATGACGATCAAAGAAACCATCAAAACATTCAGACTCCCGTATTAAGTATTGTGGATAGAATTCCACAGCGTGCAGGCAGTGCCAGTGCCAGTGCCAGTGCGAGTGGTTCGGCGGACTGTCGCCACAACTGCAAAAACCACTGGTACCCATCGCCACAACACTCAGCCACGACGCAGTGTGCCACATTACCTAATGGTGTTCCGTTGTAAATAATTTTACGAGAGAAGCAGAATGAACATTAGATCCTTACACTACATAACCTATAATGCAGTGCGGCAATAACGCCATGGCAACGGTGGTCTCCAGTCTGCCATATTGTTGATATGAGCCGGAATGGAAGGTACAAGTTGAAAGAAATTCCTAAATGATGAGGCAATGCTTTTACAAAGCTGCTATATTCTTGATCTGTGGACGGCAGTACGTCAATATTTTTGTTATAAAAGCACTAACGTTTAATTAAAAACTGGAATAAAACAATTCTTGCCAGGCTTTGTCACTAGAGGGCGACGTTGTTGGCTGGTCAATCTGATTAATACAATATCCTAACTTGGGCTTTCTTTTAAAATACGTATTCAATTATAATTCATATATTTATTTTTATTAATAACATTTTTTATAGTACATGTATTTTTCAAGTTTTGATAATCATGAATGCCAAGTGGTGGTAATTAAAATAAATATGCATTTGTAAAAAGATAATATATAAAATAAGAAATGCACGACATTGAATACATCAGATTTTAACGAATAAACCTTTCTGGAATTACCAATTACTCCATTTTTTGGTCATGTGAACACATACAAAGACGCCACTGAAGAGAGGTAGTCTCTGTATTTCTTCAGTTTGTCTCTGAAAAACAAACTAATATTGTGGCCTCCAATTTCCTTTGTTTTTACTTATTTTGTTGATAAAATGTTGATTTAATTTCATAAAATTACAGATTTCACAACCATAGCAAGATGTTTGTAAGGATTACTATATCAACATACGAATTTCTGTTGAGTTGCTAGAGTGTCAGGGAGTGAGCCCACCTAGTTATGTCATAAAAAATCTTAGTGCATCATATCGCTTAGAGGGCGCACTGATCCAAGCTTCAATATACAGCAGGAATACTTCAAACCAGACTGGTTGAAAATATTCATGTTATTACAAATAAAATAAAAACAATCATATTTATATTAATTATGATTTTTTTTAATATTTCCATTTACATCATAATTTTTTTTATAAGCAAACTGGAATAAAAACTACAGCTTTCTTTCACTGTACAAATACACAAAATCTAGTAATTTGTTTTTTTCTTCTTCTTTAGAGTTAAAACTTTTTTTTTAATTTGTGAAGAAGCCTTGGGCCCATAAAAAAGGTGTTTAATTATTGCATTGAAACACTGGTAAATACTACAATACATTTTATACATCAGAGTCAAAAATATAATAAAGAAAAAAAACATTATCTGATAATATATCATGAAGCAGAAAAGAAAAAAAACCATAAATTTCCATTCATCACAACAAATGAATGCCCAGCAATGTTTTCTTAACAATTTTTGCTCTTCACACATTTTGTACATATAAACAGAACTCTTTGTTACCATGGCGGTGAAGATGTACAAGATATTTTTCTTTCAAAAAATACAGTAAAAACAAGTGTAAAAATTTGTTTTCAAAGAAGGGGAAAGACACAACCAATCCCATAACCATGGAGGATAAAGCACCGATAGTTGATGAAGAGAAAATGTTAGGATTGGTAACTTTTCAAAAACTTTATACATTTTTTTTTTGTAAATTCTTTTGTGATCAACTTGTAGACATTGACCTATCAACTAAATCTTCATTTGAAACTCGTATTTACAGGATTAAAAATTGCACACTCTCTCTCTCAAAAAAAAAAAACACTAAACAGAAAGAGTAAAAGAACAAAACTAGCATATTTCCATGAATATCGTTCTGCATCAAATGATCCGAACAAGCATAAAATAATAAAAAAAAGCTTTGTCCACAACATCTCAAATGGCATAATTGTTAATGAAACACGATAACTGGAATATACCAATGTGCTTCGATGGCAGTGAGGGCTCATCAGTGGCTGTACTCGGTCACTTGAAAAGAGCAATGCCCGTTGTCATGGTAACTGTTGTGACAACACAACTTGTTGCACTACATATATATATATATATATATATATATATATATATATCAATATATATACAATGACGTTAAGTTTGATCAATCAACCACAGATGAATCATCCAAAAAAAAATATAATTTCTAAACTACAATTGTCAATAATATAATTATCCGTGTAATTTGAATCATTATTTAAATCATCATGATTTCAATGGCAATGAAATATCAGTGTCAATTTTAAAGACATTATTATTAAACAGCAATAAAAGTTAATGTGACATAATAAACGAATGCCATTCTACCATCGATAAAGTCTCGTCAAAGTCCCCAAACGACACCTGATACTATTATGTCATAATATCATATTGTCCGTAAAATGTCTGTAATATCTTCTTCATAGAAAAATATGAATATAAGCAATGAAATGTCATGGTAACGTATTAAAGGAAAGTTGAAGACAGCTTGAGATTGAACTACTAGAATACATAATTCTTCGTAGCGTTCATACAGTTTTCAATTCAGTCATGAGCATAATTTCGTTCATAGTTCATCGACCTGCATACCGGTGGCAGGATCATAAGTTCCTGCTAGGTAATAGACATCATCGTTGTCCACGTTGCTTTTCGATTTGTCCTTAGTTGACGTGGTTGTTGTGGAGTTTCCATTTGTTGTTACTGTCCTTTCCTGATAGTCTTCGAATGAGAGCACCTCGCATCGGTGTGATATAGTCTGTACGTCGTTTTCATCTACGTGGGGGGATTGATACAGCGCCATCTATGGTGGAAATGAATTGATTTGTTATCATTTTATTTTGAGAAGATGTGCATTTCAAACATCTTGATGGATTAGGGAAGGACACGAATAAATTTTAACATTTTACTGAGTCTGCGCTACCACGGTAACCTCAACGACAAAGCAGCAGTGATATTAACAATACCAACCTTTCCGTCATTGCCACGTCTTCCAGCTTTCGTCTCTTCTGGATGGTAGAACCACTTGACCTTAACAACCATGTTACCGCCCCACGCCTCCCACATACTTTCAATTCTACCAACATATGGTAAATGCGGCCGTCCAGTCGAAAGAAAAACAGCACAGTCATTGACCTGAGGATATAAACAAAATAATTTTAGTAAAAACAAACACTTGACACCATTTGTTGAAATACACACATCTAAGATGGGTTTATTAATCAACTTTAGGGTAAAACCGCAAAATAAAAATATCAGGGTTAATTTCCTGAGTTAGAATCATGGGATATGAAAATAATATACAACACTGTCAATGATTGGTCAATGTAACTTGATCAGCCAATCAGTGAGAGTCTTTGGTTGAATAAAGTTAATTTGCTAAAATGCTGTAAAACTAATCTTCACTGTCATTTCATTTAACTATTTTAATATTTTGAGTATATGCACTGGGTTTTGCATGTTCATAAATATTTAATTATATCAACAAGATGATTTTACTTTCAGGGAAATTAAAACCCAGTGAATACTAGTAATTAATGCATTTACTTGTTTGGCACACTACCCGTCTAAAACTGAATGCGCAATTGCTTACCCTTATAATTTCTTTGTCTCTGCATATGGCTTTGTAAAATACTTTCTTTGCTTTCCCTTTCATTCCTCGACGCTGAGTCGCTTTGCCGCACCACCTCCACAGCTGACGAGACGGCAGAAATGCAGCAATCTTACTGGCTGATGGTAGTCGCGTTTTTCTTCCTCTTTTCGCAGCAATGGCAGACTTTGAACTCTAAAATTACATACCATAATGTTGGTTAGAAAAGGTAATAAGAAAGTTTAATAGAATGTGTCTGATATACTATTACCAGAAAATTTTTAAATGTCGGAAATTTGTAAAATTCTGAAATCATTTTTTCTTTGGTTTGTTATGAAATATATGTAAATTTTGTTTTATCGTGAGTGAATGTACTAGAAGCGAGAGTAGTCAACCGTTTTTTTAAGGCACATTAACCTTCCATGGTGTATCTTTTGACCTGATAAGGCCATAAATGCCATTAACCAATCAGAATACTGTGTGGTAATGCTGTCAGCTTCCAAATATTGGCAATCCCAGAAATTCAAGAATGAAATGAAAATTAAACATAATCCCTATAACAGAATTTCACTATTTTGCCAGATTAATGAAAATTAAAATTAATGAAAATTGAACTCTTTTTGAAAACTTTGTACTTAGCAACAAGAAGAATGCTTTCTCGAAATCAACAATACATGAATTTCTTTTCCATAATTTATGTGCACACATTTATGGTCCTAAAATTCATCAATTTCTATTAAATTTGCATTAATTTTACCTTTTTTATCTCCGCCGATAAGTCACTGGACACTTCAGATGTTGAGTCACTATTCGTAGTGTCCTCGTCCGTCAATTCCCCATCATTATCAGATGTCTGCGTACTCGTCATAGGTGTTGTTTCGGTGCTATCCAAACCTTCAGAACAGCTGCGCACATCCACGTCCTCCGCCGTCGAATCAGATTGCGATTCTTCAGGAACATTCAAATCGTTTGTTTTGACACACACCGTTAAGTCAGGTTTTTTCTTTGGAGGTTGAAGTGGAGGACTGAAAACTGTATCGTCGTTGGCAACATTTGTCCTTGATTCCTTATCTTTCTTGTCCCTGTCTTTGCTGTGTTTATGTTTCTTGTGTTTTTTAGTTGAACTTGAATCTGTATCCTCAGAATCAGACTTGATTTTGCTGGATTTTTTTATCTTTTTCTCCTTTAGTCTTGTCTTCGCCTTGTCTTTATTTTGTCCTTTGAGCTCAGAATGTTTGCCACTCTTCTTTGATTTGCTACTTGGTTGTGAATTCTCCATACTATCACTTTGTGTACCTTCACCCTTGCTCGGACTCTTGGAGTTCTGTCTGCTGAGTTTTTTTGAGATTTTCTCCTTCTTGGAATCTTGCTTGGATTTTTTCTTTGATTCCTTGGAATCCGACCTGTCTCTGTCCTTATTTTTCATCTTCTTTTCAGACTTCTTGGCAGACTTGGCAGAGTCACCGTGGCTGGACTTTGAAATGTTCGGCGATTTCACTTTCTCCGGTGGTTTGTAGTCGTCAATGAAAACGTCATTTTCCATGTCCACTTCTGATATGGTATCCAGAAAGTCATATTCTTCAAGCATTTCTAAGCAAAGAAAAATTGATAATTCATTATAGAATAAAGTAAATAATGAAACAACAAAAAAGTGAATTAACATGACTACTAGAATAAGCAACATGTGTACATATCAAAAGTAGATATTCTACCCTGATTTTTCCCCACACACTTCATTTTGATATTACCCAAGGTTCTTATTCCTTAGACAAACATACCTACAATATACACTTGCTCCAAGGAAGTCTCCCAAAATTAACATGACAGCAATCTTTATATAGCGCCCTCTGTGTCATTATGAGTATCTGATTTGTTGATCTTGCAAATACAACACAATTTTGTATTTTATATACCATAGTTGTCCGAGTATAAACCCCTGCTCATGTATAAGCCCCCCTCCAAATTTACAGCATTTTACAAAAAGTCATTTATCCGATTATAGTTTATATTTATCCGTGTTAGTTTATTTGAAACTTCGTTTAGAATATACTTTCGTTTCCCCCTAAACGTACAGACCAATATTCACGTGAAACACAGGGTCGAATGCTGTTCCACTTAGTAAATACACCCAAGAGTGATTAGTGACCCTTGGGCGTAACGGCCAATCCTCAAGTTAATTAGGACGATGCTAGTCGAAGACACTCTAGTATCGTACAAATGACAATTTGTTTATGAATAAATTAGCATAAATTATCACTCAGGAGAAGTTTTAACTATTACTCGTTTATAAGCCCGGGGTTTATAAACCAAATTTTTCGTTAATTTGCCATTTTCCCAGAGGGGTTTATACTCAAACAACTACTGTACCAAACATGGCTAAATATGTTCATGTCATTAGTCAGGGCAACTAATTTTGACAAACTTTGAACAACCAGTCTACACCAAAGCCAAATTTTGATCTAGGTTATTAACATAAACGGTTGTATTCCAGAAAAAAAAAATTAATTATTTCACTTAATGCTCATTAACCATGTGACCTGTCATGTGACCATGTCAAAGGTGAGACTGACCTTTCTTAGATTTGCGTCCTCTGCTCTTTGTCTTCTTACTATGTTCCTTTGATGTACTTGATGTGCCACTCTCCTTGGTATCCAAGACCCCCAGTGATGTTTCAAAGTAACCCGACATTCGAGACGTTGAGTCCCTACCATCCGAGCTGATGTCTCCCGACGTACGACGGCGACGTTTACGCTGGGGCATAATGGGAGATGGCTCGATATCTAATGATTTTAATCAAAATAAAAAAAATGCTAATTTTATTTAAATCATCAGCAGGAGTGACAAAAATAAAATATAATAAATCACTCACATATTTCTGTGTATTTCTATACTATTGACAGATTTAATTTATTCTTTCTAAGCATGCTTCTTTCTGATGAATAATAATGATCAGAAATTCACAGCTAGTCTCACGAACATGTTCGATACACATGCCCATGCAACAAATAAAAAGCATGTAAAATAAAATGTTCACATGCAATATCAGCTGTGTTGCTTTAATAGTCCTGCATATCCTGGGCGCACAGCAAGCATGGTATTCGCTCTCTAAAAGTAGCACATATGCTTACGCATATGACAAAGCTGTATAGCCAATATAAATCATTTTAATTATCCAGAATACTTTTGTTTAACGTGCAGTTTTATTGGAGATGCGCTTCTAATTCAGTGAATACAAAACAGGTAAAACAAACATAATTCTTAGTTTATAGCTTTGATTGAAGGGCATTGGACAGTGATATTTATTTATTTATTTTTTTTCAAATGTTTTTGTGTTAGGCGACAGTTCCGGACATTGAATGTCACTGTTGTCACTCCTGACTTTTTTTTTTAAGACTGGAGTCAACCAGGCTCGGTCAAACACAAGCACCTGCGAACCTTAATTGGCCTTCCCATTGAGTCTGTGGCACACTCACCCAGGGTAGGGGGCCAACCCTTTGATGTTCAGCCTAAGGTAGGATTTGAACATGGGTCTACCGATCAGTGATATTTCTTACTTACCAACAATTGGATAATCCTGGGACAGTAACCGGATATGATCCAAAGGTATCCTACCAGAATCACCATCATCAAATTCCACATTGATGAGTTTATCGTCGATGTCTGGATTGGGACTTCCTTTTGAGACACATCCGGGATACAAACATCTGTACTGTTGACTCCAATAGGCACATACGCGGGTACCTTCTGGTAAGTAGTGTGTGGAGCCTGGCTTGACATCATGAATCTGGTAAGAGGCATTTCAAAAACCAATGAGTTAATTCTTGTCAATAATCAAATAGTCACCTAATTAACTCTTATACTACAAACTTCAAACTGAATACTACAAACTTTAAATTCCCCCTGGTTCAATATAAACCTAAAATTTGGAAAACTTTCTTGACAGCAATTTTAATCTAAAGGTGTACAATTCTTAAGTCACAATGTGAAGAAAAAAAAAGAGTAAGAAATGGTTTGTTGGTCTGTTGAGGGCGCTATCACTTGCTGAGATTCAGTCTAAGCATTGATAGCTTTTCATTTTATCAAAACAGGAAATTTTATCTGATGCTTTTGGCCTACTAAATCAGTATAGGTTTATCTCTGGTTTTTAGTTCAAAATGGATTAGGAACTTGCAAAGGAATCTACTTTTCTAAAGGAAACTGACTTATAAAAGTAATGTACTTTTTCAAAAAAAAAACTTACAGCTTCTTGCAATATCTGTTCCTGTGAGTAAACATGTGGTCTGTTTCCCCTTTCTCCGTCTATTACAACACCATAACTACAAACAAAACATATTAATCATAATTAAATATTTGCTTTGACATTTTGTCACACTAAATTATGAGAATTCAGATGTAATCACTTTAAATAACACAAAACAAAATGGCTGCCACTTACATGTCAGGAGCCTGGATAGCATTGATATGCCCTGTATAAAACAGCCCTTCAGATGGTATCAACACCCGTAGACCATCTACCAACTCCTCTGGGACAATTGTACAAGACCTTGGCTCTGAAAGCAAATATAATCTATGTTGAAATTACTGGTAATAATTTTAGGAATTCAAAATAAATAGAGATGGTATAAAGGAAGAAAGGCATTATAGCGGAATCCCTAACTTTGTGGAGATTATTTTATCGCATGATGCAAATGAAACTGAAATGAGGACTTACCTGGGGTGATTGGTCTTTCCACCAGTGAACTAAGGGGTATGTTTTCACCATCCTCACTACCGTAGCCATCATTGCTGTAAATGTCGTCATCTTGCAATGAATGTTCATGCATTGACTTCGGCTTTGCACTGACCGTGGCATCGGAATCGATCTATGATTAGGAAAATTTCAAAGCAAATCAAAAACCATTCATGTCGAGCACTACCACGTTTATTTCAAATATAATACAGATCATGATATGTTTCAATGTAATGTAAATTTTTGGTACCTTTTTTTTACATTTCACTTTACTTTTCTTTGAACCTGGGGTGTCTGTATCTTTACCACTTGACTTAGAGGGCTTTTTCTTAATCATTGCAGGACTGAGGGGCATTGCATAGTCATCAACATTCGGTGGAAATTCAGGTGTGGAAACAGACTTCCCTTTGCTGGTACTGCTGCTAGACTTTTTAGCTTTCTGCAAAAACAAATGAATATAATAATGATGAATACAGATGAGATGAGATGAGAAGGTGTATTCTAACCACCTTGGGTGAAGTGGTTGTACAACTAAGAACTACTCTCTGTTTTCAGATCACCAAACACATTATATTTGGTCAACTCTTTATAAAATTTTCACCAAAAAAACATTTCAGAGTTTGTAAAAATGAATACCAAATGTATTGTGTGTGGTTTCACTTGCCAGAGGCCTTAATTGCAATACAAAAATATGAATTACTACAGAAATATCTATTTCTTCATTAAAAATCACTAAGTTGTCATAAATAAACAAAAATAGTAGAATAAAAAGCAAAGAAGTATACCAAAAAAAAAAATGGATGATGCTGGTTTGATAGGATCGAGGTGGACAGAATTTTTGTTCTTAGGTAACACTGCATACACATCAGCTGCCAGGATGCAACAACGGTTGCTTCTTCCATACTCACCTTTGGTGGTGTAATAGTTGGTGGGGTTTCATCATCTTTATGAGATCTTGATGAAATATTTTCTTGTCCGCTCTTTGGCAGAGAGGATTTGTTGATAGGACTGACATCGCGGGATGGGACAGGGCTGGTGTCACTCAGAAATATTCTCTCACTTCGCCGCCTCTGCCAAATGCGTTCATGTTCTAAATAAGATGACCGCTCAGTATTCACGTATTCTTTAAAAGCCTGTAATACAGAAAGATTGAAAATGAAAATAAAAACTGATGCAGGAACTCTTGGGTAACATTTTTCAAATATTTATAATGTCAAAATCTACATTTGTAATATTTCAATCAAAACATCTAAATTTGAAATACATTTAAATTATAAGGCAAGCAGAAGGCTAACATTTTTTTGGTGCAAAACGGTATGATTAAGCATACCTTCGCTATTTCTTCCTCTTTACTTTTCTTTTTCTTACTTTTCTTGGGCTTCTCTTCTCTGCTCTCGTTAGTCACTGGTTTGGGTGATTTGGGCTTGCTGGTTGTTGTCTTCTTTGATGATGACTCACCGACTTTCCCTGAAACAAAAACGGAGTATAATAAGTTTGAACAAACTTACACCAGACTATTATCTTTAAGTGTTTACAAATTTCATTTGGTGTTGAGGTCAAAGGTCATAGGACAGAGGTCAAAAGTCAAAAGTCAAAGGTCAAACTTTTGCTTGACAAAAAAACATACTGGATCAGGAATTTATATCAAAGGTCACTCAACCTCTGAACTTTTTTTTTAATGAGAGCACACAGAAAATTATGTACAATTTATTTTGAAATTTTTTATAATATCATGATTCAGCAACTAGTTTCTTAAGTAATCACCTTGAACGTCTTCCACTCTTGCTGGTGATACACTTTTCTTGGGTCGTCCGGGTTTCCTTTTCTTCACTTCCACATCAGATGTTGAACACTCTGACTCTTTACCCGAACTGTGCCTCTTTCTCTTTGCACAGACTTTAGGAGAAGCGGCAGTCGCATACTTTGTGAGAAGACCAAGACCATCCATGGCCATTTCATCCAACTCAATATTTGATTCATCTGGGTATTAAAGACGACAAATAAATTACATGGAAAGATGACCTTTGATGAGTATCTCCGTATCGGTATCGGTATCTCAAGATGTAATTGAAAGAAGAATTAAAGCAATGAACGAATATAAAGATCAAAGAAATGAAATTTACATGTGGCATACATTGGCCGTGATTGGTTGCAGAGACAGAAAATTAAATACTCACCATAAATATCCATACTTCTCTGCACAACTTCAGGAGTCTCAGTTTTTATTTTACTGTAACGCGTTACAACGTCTTCGATAATGTCATCATATCTATCAGATCTACTTTTAACAGCCGCATCACCATGACAATCTACCTCTGCCTGAGCTTTCTTCTTCAGTTTGTTTGCTTTTGCCTTATCTTTACTCCTTTTCTTCTCTTTACCTTCCTTTGGTTTCTTTGGAGTGGTTTCCAGGCATTTTGAAATGTCCACTGGGAAGGGTTCCGTTTCCATGTCACCAAGGTTCAATATATCTAATGTAGAAAGACGTCATTTAAAATGTCATTAACATTCAATGCACTTTACGGAGTTTAGATTTTGAGATAAACAGCAAAAAAAAAAATCAGTGCAAGCTGATAGCTCTTCGTGTGATGATAAAAAAAGGAAGTAGTTAATGGGAACCGATCATTGTGGCCACGTTAGAGCCTTCTTAAAATAGGGTCAAAACATATCATCATGTCAATATTTCAATAATGGTTTCAAACCAGCTGTTAGTATCACACGACTGAATGTCTTGGGCACTCTAGGTTTCATTTTAGAATGCGATGTGGAGGTGGGGGTTCAAATTAGGTTATGTTCAAGATAATTGAGAACTACTGACATTATACTGACAGGCCATAAATACAGCTTGACATAGTAACACATAGACAAAAGTCAGCAGGTACTCGAAAATATAGGTACCCAGAAATCATTTGTTCTTATCTTACAACATCTAGATTAATCACAATGACAAAATGTTGGTGATTTTCACTCTAATGGGTCCAAAAATAGACAACTACGAGGTTATCTTGAAAATACCACAAAGTATGCACACGGCCATCGCCAAGCAGAGGTTGATGCCATCCCATAATGCCTGAGTGCATTATTTGCGGTATTCTCATAAGCTTATTATTATATCTCTTTTTCTTACTCGTAGTAATTTATTGAGAGATAACAACCCTAATTTGGAATGAATACATTCCGCACTATGCCAACGTTTGCATTTAGTGCCAGTATTCTATTTCCGTCATGGGCTATGGTGCTTTTGCATTCGACGTACACGAAAGAATGTGAAGTCAATAGTCTAAAAATGTTGGTGACTTAGGTTCTAATGAGTGAAAATATGTTTCGAACAAATGCGGATACAAATTTTTATGGAACAGTGAATGATTTAGGTGCTAGATAAATAAAATTACCGCTTATTGCAATTTTGGCGATAGTGCTATTGTAAGTATGTTTAAGACGCAATTTGGACAAAGTTGTGACAACTCTTGGCACTGCTACAAAATTTAACAATTTTCCTAACTGTCACATGAAAGTAAAGCGATTCACAATAATATATGGAAGTTGACAACACTGACACTGACAACGACAACACTGACACTGACAACGATAACACTGCCAATAACATTCAGTAACATGTGTGTGTGTGTGTGTGTGTGTGTGTGTGTGTTAACATTGTTGAGTTAAAAAGTACTAAACGATGACAAGGGATCTGAAACAATATTTTCTTTCTTAGAAATAACAGTACATTCATTTGACGCAAGAAATATACAAACTTGTCAGAATCGAAAAAATGGAAGCATCTAGTTCGCTGATAAGCCTCACCTAATGAATCAATGTCAGGTGGTGAGCAGGTCAACTTTGTACAGATCAACTTTGGACGTCCTCTCCCTTTGGATTTAGTGGTCTTATTTTTATTTTTATTCCCAGATTCAGAATCTTTTTTCTTCTCTTTGAGAACTAAAGATGAAGAAGTTTTGAATACTTTACCGTATTTCATTTATAACATATTTCCAAAATATTGCATGCTATCAATTGAAAAACTTGGAATTAAAAAAAAAAAAATTTAAAATAATATTTTTTAGATGGGCGGGGGGAGGGGGGGGGGGATTTGAGATGCAGGATATAGAGGGAAATTTAAATCTAATCTAATCTAATCTAATCTAATCTAATCTAAACATACCTTTGATATGAGCATCATCTGGAGAAGTTGACTTGGATTTCTTTACTTTAGGTGTTTTGTTGATGCTGTCTGTAGAGGTCAACAGGTCAATGTTGCTCTTAGAGCTTTTTTTGCTCTTTGATGGTGAAGAAGAACTTGTCTTTACTTTAATTTTGCTGATGATTTCTGATTGGATACCGCCCGCAGCAGCCATCTTGCTAGCTTTCTCAAGAAGAGACTTGGATTTCTTTTTCTTTGGCTGAAACAAAAAACAGAGTTGGTATTTTATTTAGGAGGTCAGACTGACATAAATTCATTAATTTCACGAGTCGGTGAAAATTATGAAATAGAGTGTCAGGGAATTTCATAAAAATTATGTTTTCATGAATATCATAAAATTATTAAATCGTGTAAAGACCAAGCAACGAAAATTTTAGTAGTTTATGATATTCGTATAAAATCTGTCTTAGAAGCTGTATCCCTAATAGAAGTCGCACACATTCTTTTTGAATAATTGAGAACCAACGATTCATCATTTCTCATATGTGTAGATGCTCTAATAGAAGCAGCATACCCTCTGTTGCATTGTAACATTTTAATAGAAGCTGCAGTTTCTAATACAGATTTCACAGTAGTTTACAGAAATATGGTGGCAGCTGCGAGATATGACGACATTTTACACACTCACCTTTTCAGCTTTGTCTCCTGTGAAGCTGGAAGATGAGTCTTTGGATGATTTTCTTTCACTATCCTTTGAAGCCTTTTTCCTTTTCTTCGGTGGCGGTGGTTCAATCGGCAGAGACGGATCCAGGATTCGATTCTTGCCTAATTTACTCTTCACACTGGTAAAAAGTTAAGAAAAAAATTATTTGAACTGGAGAAATGAATCAAAAATGTGTTCTTGCTTCGTACAAATTATGCAAGTCAAGGTTGAAATGCGCAAACATTTTTTTTTCTGTTGCATTTTTAAACCATAAAACTGCAAAAACTGTTAACAGTCATTGACTTTTCAAAATATATTATGGGAAAAACAATGTTGTGAAATGCGACTAAAGCATGCAGTGAATACACAAATACACAGTGAATACACAACTGACACGGCAAAATAGAATAATAGAACTCATTCCCTTCGTATTTTTACCAGAGAACAATTCAAATATATTTACCTTCTTTCCAAGTCCTCCAGTGAATTTGTTGATTTACTCGGTGATAGTTTTTGATGAACTGCGCTGAATTTCCTCTTCCTGGGCCTACCAGGACCTCTCTTTACTGGACTACTATTTTTATCATCACTTTTGTGACTAGGAAAAAAAAAATATGGCGAAAATTTAGGAAATATTGTGGAAACTTTACATATGCAGATTTGTAGCCTCTGATGAGATCTACCATAGAGCAAATTTAGAACGTTCTGAATAATGTGGAAAGGTCTTAGGACTTAAATTCCAGCGAGGATATTTACTGCCATTTTAAAAAAATTCTATATTTCTTCGCTGCGAGTAATCTCAGAATGATTTTTTATTCTGAATCAAATTCATTTCGATAACAATATAAATACACTTTATATGCCGTAAATAATGCAAGACAGCTTTGGAAAGTGTAACAATGTACCATTTTTTTCGTCGTCATGGTATGCTGTTAAAAACTTATTAATCCATTCACTACATGTTGTGTTCACAAATGGAAGGAGTTGTGCGTGTATATTTTGTGACAAAAGTTGATTTCTGTGTGCTGGTGAAAAAAAAAATTAACTATTACATACTCCCTATCTTTTTTTCTCTGTAACCTTGCCAATTCTTTTTGCTTTTCTCTATATTTCCTCTGTAATTCTGCTAGTTTCATCCTCATTTCCAGTTCCATTGCATCCATTCCATCCGTACCAATAGGTAGCTTTAACCCACTACAAACAGTTTTTCCTGAAAAAAAAAAAAAAAAAAGCTGAACATTTCAATATTTTTTCTCACTTCGAAAATCAGGAAAATTTGTAGTTAATGACACAAAATAAAAGTACGTAAAACAAATTTATCTTCGTATTTTAACAAGTTAGAAAAATTCATGAAATTTCATGACATCACATTGAGATGAAACCTTCCTTCAAGAACTTCTACATAAAATTATGGTTAAACATTTTCTGAAATTATTTAAGGATGCCATTAAAATTTTCCTGAATTTGTAAAATTAATGAAAACAAGAAGTTAGCTGATATAGCTCCATTATATAGTTAGGGAGTTGAAAAAGTATCTAAAGTAGAGATGAAATGAACAAATCTGAAAGAGGTCCACCCAAGGTACATATATATACTAAGTATCTAAGCAAGCAGACTCTCTGTTTTCAAGAAGTAACCGAAAATGTAAAGTTGACGACGACAACGGACAATCAATGATATGAGCAGCTTTGCTTATTCTAATACAGTGGAGCTAATAAAGCATTATGAATTAAAGATGAAGTACAGTCATTTATTTATGTGTTGAAATGCAGAAAAATTAAATTTGCTGAAACTTCCTTTATTGTGATCAGAGTACGTTATTTAACATATAGCGTTAATAGCGCATGTGCATGCAAAAATAAAAGGCGTGACCATAATCAAAACAAGTTGTATTTTAATGATCCAGTATACAATTTGAGATGCACTTTTTCATAGAGCAAAGCTGTACTGGTAATATGCTTTCCAATAGAGTAAATATGGTACATGTCCTCTATAAACTTTTCTATAAAAACGCCCTCTAGTGACATAAACAGGCAACATGTCAATATCATTTTTCTTTTACCCCAGGTAAGTTGTCCGTCATGGATGATTGTTTTTGAAAGATTTTCCAATATTCTAGCAGAGAACAACTACAGTGGTCAATTTGAACGATTTGATCGACACTGCCTTCATCAATATAATGCCAGTCGTTTTGACGTCACAAAAGCGGTTCGTCATTGCAAGGGTACGATATATAGGAATGGTGTATTAGAGATGCAGTTCTGATAAAGCAAACATGAATGCATGGAATATTAATTTAAATATACTATCTAGCATTGTAAGGGTGATAACTAGGAGTCGATATTTAACGAACGTACCTAATGACTCCTCTCTAATTGTTACTGATACTTTACTTTTGGTTTTAATGACGAATTCTGAGGAGGAAGAGGAGGATGAAATTTGCTGACAGCTAGATGAATAATGATTAGCATTTAAATCAGTAAACTCGTTACCATGGTAACGACCATCAGTTAAATCGTGCCCTTTGCTCATCTCAGTCTTGCGTTCTGAAAAAAAAATTGTAAAGACAGAAAGATGATACAAGGTTGTGGAATTTGTTGTTGTTTTACAGTACTCTTACTTTCACTTTTTTTTTTAAAACTTCCATGAGAAATTTAGCAGTCTGAAATATAACTAAAAATAAAAATATAACAACTTTTTTTACTTAGGATATGAATAAGATTTCTTCAATGTTTAACTGTTAGAATGCCAGTAAATGATCAGTTGGTTTTTTAAAAAAAAAGGGAAGAAAAAGAAAAACCAAGAAACTAGTAGTAGCGTTAAAGCAGCCAGAACAATTTATATGAATCAAGACTTCAAAACAAATAAACTTACCATATTTATCTTCCACCATCGTGTGCAGACTTTGGTGTACGGCCGCTTCACTCAATAACGCAATTCCTTCTATGGCTTCCAGCTGCGCAGCATCTATACCGTGAGTACGCGACAGTACACTATGCACAGTTGCCATGTCATCGGACACCATTTTCTCTTTTTTGATGAGATCAAACGTTTCCATACTGAGATCCATCTTAGGAACCAAAGCTGCCATCTTATTCTCAGTCTCAGTCATCTCATAGATAGCTGACTTTTCAGTAACCGGAGGCGATGGACATGGTGATGGAGATGAACATGAAGATGGTGATGGAGATGGTGGTGGACGATTCAGTTCCGTTAATTCACTTTTCTTAAGTGCAATCAAACTACTGGCATACTCGGAGAGATCCTCTACCGTGGACGTATATTTCAGTGAGACTGGGTCTGCAGGTTTCAAAAGAGTTTCCAAGTCAGGTTTCTTCTCGATCATAGGTTCAACATATTCAGAATGTTCGCTTTTGATTTCTTTTTCGTCTTCTTCATCTTCTACAAACTCTTCCTCTTTGTATTCCTCACTACTGACTAACTCGGTCATGGTTCCCAGGCTTTGCTGCTGTGGGACGACAGATGGTGGCGGTGATGGTGGCGACTGTGGTTGCTGGGGCAACAACGGTGATGGAGGAACATCGTTCACCACATCAATTGGAGAGTCTACCACTATGGCCTTATCTTCCATCTTTTTTGTTTCCTTGGTTATAGTCTCTATAGTTTTGATAACATCAGTTCTTTTCCCATCAATCTCTGTAACAGTGTTGTGTTCAGCCGGAGGTGTCACCGTTTGAACGCTGGTGCTTCGCAGCGAAGTCACTTCCGTTTTGGAAGAGACCAAAACAGAGGATTTTGTTATCGTAACTTCAGAAGTGGTAACAGTTGTTGCTGATGGTGAAGAAGACGAGCTGGATGTGCTGACAGCAGGCTTCACCATGGAAACATTGGAAGTAGTAGTGGGGACATTAAAAGCACCTGCTGGATGGTCATAGAAATATTGAGGAGTTGGAGGATAGAGGAATGAATAATGTGGCTGACCAGCAATGGGCATTGTGGGAAAATAGGGATGCTGTGAAGACACATTGTCTTTTCTGTCCTCTTCAACTTTTGGTTTCTCATCATCTGAACTTTTCTCTTTCTCTACACTTCTCTCACTTTCTGCGGCACTTTTGTCATTATGCGCCGATGAAGCAGCTGCAAGGGCTGCAGCAGAAGCCGCCGCAGCAGCCGCTGCAGCAGCCTGAGATTCTCTTTCTTGTCGTTCTTCAGCTTCCCTGGCTTCTTGCTGCTGTTTTTGTTTTTGTTTTTGCTGCTGTTCCTCCTGGTAACGCTGAGCCTGCTTATAGAAACTGGCTTGTTGCTGAAGCATGCTTGCCTGCTGCTGTTGCTGTTGCCACGCTAGCTCCATACTTCGTTGCTGCTGTTCCTGACGTTGCAGTATTTGCTGGTGCTGCAGTGGACTGTACTGATGCTGGTTCAGCATAAGCTGCTGCAGTTGGTGTCCATGCGGTTGCAGATGTGGGGAAGGACTGGTGTACGGCCATAGAGATTGACGATCCAAAATTTCTACAGTAGAAAAAAATACAAATATTATAAATATGGTTTACATTTAATTGCAATAGTAAAGTTGTATTTCAACTTCACAAATCTGGGAGGAACCATTCTAACCAATATAAACACTAACAGATTAACTGCAGAATATGAATTCAAGCCCTTCTCTTAAATTAAGCTTGTTGATAAACAATAGACACTGAGTTAATACATTGTAGTTGTGTTGGCCTGAGAGATAAGATTCTCTATTACTTTCAAGGGGGAAAACAAGAGGACCATTTTCAATATATATATATATATATATATATATATAAATAAATGTTTTTTACACGCGTTGTATACGTCGCTATGAGTCCCATATCAAACAGGACAGGGCGTGACGACTGCCGTCCTATAACATTCTACGTTTTTGTTTTGAGAGAACATCTCTAAGTGGACAATATTTATGATGTACTCCAGCAAAAATACCACGTGATACTTGCAAATGGTTTATTGGTGGGAGGGGGTTGTCATTTATTCATAGTCACCTAAAGTTAAGGTAGCGGGACTATTATTTGCATACTTGTTTTCATCTTCTAATTGTGACTAAATGACTATAAATAGACCCAGGAAAGTATATATTTTTAGAATCGCCAGACTTCAAGCTTTTCACAAGTGTATTTTGCATGCCCATATCTGCATTCTACGACACGTTACACAACCAAAGGTGAAAAATTACTTTTTCTGTAAAAAAAATAATTACGCATTTGATG